AACCAAGCCTTTAATTTCTAACTAATTGACCTTTCCCATTGTAAAGACTTTCTTTACTTCTTCTAATTTGGCGTTCGTTTCAATCAAACTCAAAAGGCCCTAGATATGGATCGAGTAGCAAAATTGGCATCACAAAAGGCAGTGGTGATCTTCAGCAAGAGCTCATGTTGCATGTGCCATGCAATCAAGAGACTGTTCTATGAGCTAGGGGTGAGTCCTGCCATCTATGAGCTCGACCAAGACTCAAGGGGGAAGGAAATGGAGTCGGCCCTTATGCGGCTAGGGTGAACCTAGGCAGTACCTGCGGTTTTCATTGGGGGTAAATTCGTTGGCTCTGCTAACACCATCATTACCCTCCACCTCAACGGCTCCTTGAAAAACCTGCTCAAAAATGCAGGCACTTTATGGCTTTGATATATAACCATATAGTCTTTGGAGCCAAATTAGCCTCATAACCATATTATATATATATATATAGTTTTTTTTTTTAAACCATCATTTCAATGTAATCCGGCTGCCCACTTTTGTACTAATTAAAATAACTACATATAGAGAATCCATTTTAATATATATCTTTACAGCTTTTAATTTAATTTAGCATCAAAACCTCTTTAATTGAGAATCATCAAATTTTTTTGTTTTTTTATTTGGTAATTGACTGAAATTTTAAATTTTCTTATGCTAGATGGAAGGGATATATTTTATTTTTTTAAAAGAAGTTTTAAAAAAGTTGATTACGCCTATGTGTCTATATATATGTGTTTTTAACTTTTTGGATAAATCGCATGGTATGTTCCCATTTTTCCTTTGGAGAAACAAAAGATAGATGGCTATATAACCTAAGGTTAAAAAATAAATAAAGTTAAAAAAATAGAAAAAGAAAGAAAGATAGACGGTGAAATATTCACCTTTTCTAAAGCATACGAGCGATGGAACAGATTCTACCTTTATTATCTCAATATATATACAAAAATATGTTACATTCTCCACACCAAGTATTCCAAAAAAAATGCATTGCATTTGCTTTTGCATTTCAACAAGCATGGAACAGAGAATCTCCATCATATAGACACTAACCTGCAGGAGTCAACCACGTACCCTATATATTATCATTAGATGAAGATCCGGAGTGTGGGCATGTTTGGCAGAGCTTTTAAGCAAACATTTTTGAAAATTACTTCTTTGTTCTTTCACAAAAATTCAAATTTTTTAGAGAAATATATATATATATATATATATATATGAATTTTAAAAATTACTTCCTCCTTGTTATGTCTAGAGTGAGATCAAACTTTTACCCTTCTAATTCAATTGAAACTTAATACCAGCATACCAAATATCAGTTATACCAGCTATTTCGGAGATCAAGGAACTGAATTCTTCAAATATTTATGTTATCATTATTTTAGGCTCTAGTTCAACTAAGTTTGGTATTTTTACTTGTATATAAACTTGTAATTCTGTAGTTTGTTTATGGAATATAGAGATAAACCTTTCATATCTTGACATGGTATCTAAGCAATGTTTCAATCCTGCGTGATTCATCTTTATTTCATCTTCTTCTTTTTTTTCTAAAACACTCAACATGTCTGGTGGAGAAGATTTACCTAAAAAGCACACAGCTCCTAAAGACACATTCAGCAGTGAAACAAATTCATCTACCTCTCGATTTTATTTGCATCACTCAGACAATCCTAGAATAGTGCTAGTCACACAACCATTAACATGTGATAATTATCTTACTTGGAACCGAGCAATGACCATGACTCTTGAAGCAAAGAACAAGCTAGAATTTGTTGATGGAACCATCAATGAACCAGCATCAAATTCTACTATGTTTACAATCTGGAGTCGATGCAATAGTATGGTACTCTCATGGATTTTGAATGCACTTTCCAAAGACATCGCCAATAGCGTTGTGTTTATGAAGACTGCTTGTGATGTTTGGATTGATTTGAAGGATCAATTTTTTTAGTTCACTGCACCTTGGATTTTTGAGTTTTAGAGAGCAATCGTGAATCACTTGCAAAACAATGATTCTATCACAAAATATCATACAATTTTGAAAGGATTATAGGATGAGTTGACAATTTATAATCCACATCCAGCTTGCACATGTGAGGTAGCAATGGAGATCAGTACCTTAGATGAACAAAATCGGTTGATGCAATTCCTCATAGGGCTTAATGAATCTTATAGCAACTTGAGGAGGCAGATCCTCTTGATGAATCCATTGCCTAATGTTTCAAAGGCTTTATCTTTGGTTCTTCAGGATGAAAGGCAAAGATCTATTCAATCTATCTCATCACTGCCATATCTAGAACAGTTAGCCATGGCAATTGTCAACTTGCAAGAGTTTGGTCGTTTTAATCAACAGTTCAGGACTAGAAATGGAAGACCTTTTTATCATTGTGATTTTTGTGGCCTAGATGGACACATGGAGACACAGTGCCGGAAGAAACAAGGGACTCAAAGTTTCCATGCTTCTCAATATAGGCGAGAATTCAAAGAGGCTAATGCTCGACCAAGGTTTAGCAACATGAGACACAATTAGAATTCTCCAAAAAGTGACTCAAATCGCCATGTGGCAACAGTTGTCGACCAAGATGCATTCAGCTCAAATCAAAGCCAACCTTTCACTCAGGATCAAGTTAAGCAGCTTCTTGCACTCATTCAACCAAGTACTCTCAACACCTGTAATCCTCTAGTTAACATGGCAGGTGCTGATACCAATTTTTCTCATCAAAAGTGGGTAGTTGATTTAGGATGTACCACTCATGTCATAAGTAGTTTTTCATCTTTACAAAATGCACAAACATATAAAGGTTTACCGATTAAATTACCCAATAGGGAGTATTCATTACCCACCCATTCTGGATCTGTACAGTTCAATTCTTCTTTACATCTAAAAAATGTTCTTCATGTGCCTACTTTTAAGTTTATTCTCCTCTCCATTAGTCAAATTACTAAGTCACTTAATTGTTTAGTCCTTTTTCTACCTAATGTTTGTGTCTTCCAGGACTTGGTGACGAAGAAGGTGATTGGTTTAGCGAAGGAGCTTAATGGCCTTTATTATCTTGACATCAACAATAAAATATCTCCAGCAATCTCTTTTGCAGCAACCTCTTTACCTTTGGATCTTTGGCATTGCAGGCTTGAACATCCTAGTTATAGTGTTGCACCTCATTTTTCTCATCTAAATCAGAGTATTTCTTTTTCTAATAAATGTCATTGTACAGTTTGCCCTTTGGCAAAACAAACTCATTTATCCTTTCCCATTGGTTTATTTCAACAAGTGCTTGTTTTGATTTAATTCATATAGATATTGAGGCACCATATTCAACTCCATCACTTACTGGAGCTCATTATTTTCTCACAATTGTGGATGATTTTTCTAGGAATATCTAGGTCTTCTTAGTGCATCATAAGTCACAGACATTTTCTATACTTCAAAGTTTTTTTCCCATGGTGCAAACACAATTTAACTCTATTATCCGTCGTGTTCGCAGTGACAATGGCACAAAAATTTTTAATCATACAATTCATGACTTCTTTACCTCGCTTGGGGTTATTCATGAACACAGCTATGTTGATACACCTCAACAAAATGGTGTTGTTGAACATAAGCATAGCCATCTGTTAAATGTTGCTCGAGTTCTTCGATTTCAATCCAAACTTCCTATCAAATTCTGGGGAGAGTGTATTCTTGCTGCTGCCTACCTTATTAACCGCACTCCATCCAAGGTACTTCATGGAAAAACTCCTTTTGAGCTGTTATTTCGCAAAGCTCCTTCTTATTCTCATTTGCATGTGTTTGGATGTCTCTGTTTTGCACGAAATACTCACATTAAACACAACTTTGATGCTCGTGCTCATCCTAGTATTTTCATTGGGTATCCTTTTGGTCAGAAAGGTTATAAAATTTTTTATCTTTCCACTCAACGAGTCTATGTGAGTAGAGATGCTATATTTCATGAAAGACTGTTTCCCTCTCTCTTTGTGACTAAGGATGCCAGGTCTCTGCCTATTCCAATCCATGATCCAAATCTCATTGATTCTAATTTGTCACCAAATACAACAAATGAACCAACAGCTTCCCCATCTATCTCTTCTATCCCTTTATTACCTCAAACACAAGAAGGAGATGACCTGAGTACTAGCTACCATGTTCAACATGATTGTGTTCCTCTCTTACGATGTTCCCAATGTCATATTCAGCCACCATCCAAATATAAGAACTATCATTGTTTCAATGCTCAAGATCAATCAACTTCTACGTCTCCAAGTACAAAATTTCCTCTTGACAAATGTATTTCTTATTCTTGGTTCTTTGGTAAACATTATGTTTTTCTTAGTTCTTTATCCTTTACTATTGAACCCACTACTTTTTATCAAGCTGTAAAGTTTCTTGAGTGGCAACAGGCTATGCAAGCTAAGCTTACTGCTTTGGAAGACACCAACACATGGTCTTTAGTCACTTTGCCACCAGATAAAAGGCCTATTGGATGCAAATGGGTATTCAAAATTAAAAGAAAATCTGATGGTAGTATAGAATGATACAAAGCTCGTCTTGTTGCTAAGGCTTTCACTCAAGTGGAAGGTGTTGATTATCATGATACATTTGCACCAGTTGCTAAACTAGTGACAATGCGTGTTCTTTTAGCCATTGTAGCTGTGAAACAATGGCCTTTGCATTAATTAGATGTTCAAAATGCATTTTTACATGGTGATTTATATGAAGAGGTTTACATGACTTTACCTCGGGGACATCCTCGAAAGGGGGAAAAGGATCTTGTCTACAAACCCATAAGTCTCTTTATGGCTTAAAGCAAGCCTCACGCATGTGGTTTGCTAAATTTTATGCTACTTTACTTGACATTGGGTTTCAACAATCTTATGCAGATTACTCACTGTTTACTTTGACCCGGGGTTCTACCTCTATTTATGTTTTGGTGTATGTTGATGATATGATAATTACAGGCAACAGTTCTTCTTTAATCACTCAAGTGAAGCAATTCTTATTTAGTAAGTTTAAGCTCAAGAATTTGGGTAATCTCAAATACTTTCTTGGCATTGAGGTTGCTTGTTCTTCCTAAGGTATTTATCTATGCCAACAAAAATACACTCTTGATTTGCTTAACAATGCTGGTTTTTTGGGCACTTTAATTGCTAAAACTCTTATGGAACATAACTTGAAACTTACCCCTTCTGATGGCTCCTTATTGGAAAACCCTTCACTGTATCAGAGATTAGTTGGTCGGTTAATATATCTCACCATTACATGCCCAGACATTTGTTTTGCTGTCAATATATTAAGTCAGTTTATGCAATCTCCTCAGAAACCCCATCTTGATACTGCTCATCGCTTGCTTCGTTACTTGAAGAAAACTCCTGGCAAGGAATTCTTCTTTCTTTTGGAAGTTCTCTTCAATTACGAGCTTTTTGTGATTCTGACTGGGCTAGTTGTGTAACAACTTGAGAGGGAGTAATACCAACATACTAGATACAGTTATACTAGATATCAGTTATACCAACTATTTCGGAGATCAAGGAACTGAATTCTTCAAATATTTTTGTTACCATTATTTTAGGCTCTAGTTCAACTAAGTTTGGTATTTTTACTTGTATATAAACTTGTAATTTTGTAGTTTGTTTATGGAATATAGAGATAAACCTTTCATATCTTGACAAAACTAATGGCTAGAAGCTTGCATGTTCCACTCTTCACAAAAGATAAGATCGGATATCTTCGGTACAATATCAATTTCAAAAGAAAGAAGAAACTCTCTGGGCTTAAAGCTCAATGAATTGAAGAATATTGGAGTCGGGCCTAAGTTTACGTGGTTGCATTCCTGGCCCAACATGTCAGTTGGGCCTCAAGTATACAAAAAGTGATCCCATTTCAGCCCAAATCTGTATATCAAATTGGCCTATAAGTATATTTGTAACATTTAAGCATCAATTTAAGCGGTCTCGTTGCAGCAATTGGGCTCGATAACAGGTTTCTCATGAATTTCTGTGATTATTGTTATGTTTGCCACACTCTACATAAGGGCAATGCAGCGGGCAGGTTATCTAGCTTCGTTGGGTCACTCATCCCCTCATGGAACTGCCTTGCTACCCTCCCCTCCTTTGGGTCTGAGTTACATTTTGCTTGGTGACGCTGTGGGAACAGCTTTCCCCAAAACGAACTTAGTTTGTTTCTTATTACTGATGTACCCAAACCAAAAAAAAAAAAAAAAGCCTGCAAAATTACGCGTTAATTAATTAATTTTCTGCAGTGGGACAAGGCCCAAGCCCATGAGGGGCCCATTGTCTGCTCGATATTTTTCTAATCCATTTGACTTTCCACGGTGTGGTGCTGATAACCAACTTTAACATATAAGTGGGCTTTTATAATTATAATACAATATTATATTACATAAATATAATATAACATGAAATGAGTTTTTATATATTTTTTTAAATAAAAAATTAATTATACAATAATATATTATATTATAAATTTATAATGGGTTAAACCTCTAATTTTATTCATCAACTATTGTATAAACTTTTAATTTGATCAATAAACTAAAAAATTTTCTAATTTAATCTACTGTTATCAATTTAACTTCGAATCGGCCCTTTCATTAGAAAACAGTTGACATCTCTATTTCTTAACAATAAAAAATTGTTATTTAATGTTTATATATTATGTTAATAATAAGACACGTCATTTATTTTTATATAAAATAATTAATTTGAGATCAAATTAATGAATAATAAAATTCAAATTCAGGATTTTTTTAGTTTAAAAACTAAATTATGAATCTGTATAATAATTGAGGGATAAATTAAAAGTTTAACCTTTATAATGCTATATTACGGTTAATCTCTAGAATATTTTTATTAAAAAAAATGAGGCGTCTTTGGTCAACAATCACTGACCACGGTTACTGCACCACGTGTTTAAATATTGGAAGATGGACGGCCGTCAATGGAAACCGTCCAATTGACCACATCAACCCGGCCCGACCCGACACGTCCATTTTACCACGTCAGTCGGGCCTCAAGTACTCCATCTGTTTTAATTGAGTTGTACATTTGACTATAGAACTTTTTTTTTTTCGGAATACATTGAGGGGGTGTCTGATTTAACTCTAGTGAAAGCCAATCCGACCCTTGGATAGAGTGCCTGCCAAAATTTAAAAAGTACTTACTTGAAAATATTATTTATTTTGGTATTAATTTTTTAATATTAAAAAGTCATATTAAATTTTAATTAATTTAAAATCAAACTCATCAAAACTTATAAAGAAAAATTCTTCTAACACTTATTTTTGCATATACAAAACTCAAACTATAGACCTTAGTTTATAAGTTTGTTTGGAATTTCATTAGATAAAATTCTAAAACTTATATTTTAAAATAAGCTTTTAAGTAAAACTTGAAGAACTTTAAATATGTAGTATTTTCAAAAGAGAATAATGTTTATAGTTAAACTTATAAAAAATTAAGTAAAAAATGTTTTAAAATTATGTCATTTTAGTAAAATATTATGATAAAAACTAAAATATCTACATCCTCACTTTAAAAATAATTATGATATTTTAATATTTTTAAAATATTTTTTCACTTACTTTTTTACAATACAAGTTAATATCACTTTTTTATTTTAAAAAATTATTTAAAATTCACTTAAAATTTAATTTTAAATATTTTTCCCTAATAAAATTTTAAATTTATAAAAATATAATACTTTTAAAACAAGAATCTTTTGAGCTTTAGCATGAGTTAAGGTCAACATTATCTTAGAATTATAAACTCTAAAAGTGGTGGATTTGTACATAGATGTTGTTTTATGAGTGAAATTTAGAATGTCAATATATAAAAAATAATAGTATTTTTTGTATTTTTTATAGTGATTTAATAAAATAAAGACATCATATTAATTAAAATATTTAATTTTTAAAAAATAAAATAAAATATTTTAAATAAATTAACATATAAAAACATTTATTAAAAATATTTAATTGATTTTATATAAAATCTTACCATTTAAATTAATAGATAATCTCAATTTTTATATTTTTTAATTTGAGAAATAATTTTTATATAATTTTTTTGTTTTATTTTTTTTACAACCTTACATATTATTTAAATGATTAATTCTTTTAATTTATATAAAATATATAATATTAAATACATTTACTAATTTAATTACATATAAAAATTATATTAAAAAATAAAATAAAATAATTATTTTTATAACACCACCTTTTTAATTTTTATATTGTAATAATTAATATTTAAAAAGTGTAATAAAAACATCTCATGCGTTGTCTTTGCCATTTAAAATTTCTCTTCTTCCTTTCTTTTTTCCATGTAATTAATTATTTATTCTTTTTGTTTTCTCTGCTTCTCTTTGGTAGTCTTTCTTTACTCTCTCTTCTTTCTGCACAGCAGTGTTTTCTTCGATTTGTTGATCTGCTCTATGGTCCGATCTTTCTCGTTAATGGGCACAGAGGATCCTAGAGAGTTAAGCTCGAGGGAGAGGAAGAGCTGAAAGAGTGGATTTTGGTGGGAATTTTCAGTTGGGGGGTGTGTGTGTGTGAGGGAGTGAAGATGGAGGGGAGGATTTCCTAGGAGGGTTTGTGTTGAAGTTTGTTTCTTTGAATTGGGATTTTGTAGGTTTGGTTCGATTTGGTCGGATTTGATATGGATGGGTGTTTTCCTTGTTTGCGATCATCGAACAAGGACGGTAGTGGTAGTGGAGGAGCTGTGAAGGAAGTGAGCAATAAGGATTCAGCTAAAGATGGCTCAGTGACTCAGCCTCACCATCTCAACGGAGTTAGTTCAGGTAAAAGTCTATGTTTTTAGGCAATTGGTTTTGTTTAATTGGTTATTCTGATGAACTAGGTATATTGAATTGTGAGGTCGTTTCTTTTGTTTTGTTGATAGTTAACTGTAGGAATTTGGTATTTGTGCGATCTGTTGCATTTGTGGTCTTTTGGTTATATAATCAATTTCAGTGGTCCGTTGAAGTATAGTTTTGTAGCTTTGAGAGTTGTAGTTTATTGAAGACATGCTAGTTGGATGTTTGTTTTTGTTGGTAATTATGTTTGAATTTTATCATGATGAGGCAGGAAAATAATTATTGAGGAGATCTGTTTTTAGTTTTGTGAGCTCCAGTTATCTTGCTTTCTTTTGTTTGCATTTCTGGTTTAATCATTAATGTCAGGTTTGTGCAGAATTAAATGCTAATAAGTACATTTCATGTGATAATTTGGAAAGTTAAATGCCAGTCTGGAATAGAGTGCTTGGCAAAAAAAATCTCGACTATAGTGGAATGGAAGGATGAAAATCCATCTGCGACATTTCTGGCTCTCAAGTACAGTGGAGATTGTAGTGTCAAGTGATAAATTTTGCATTGTTTTATTCAGTGTGAACTGTACAATTAGGGCTTATCTTGACAGAGAGTAGGTAATTTGGTTTATAGCAATCTTACACACAAGCAAACACAAGACAAGTCTTGTATAGTATTGAAATATATTTTGCTGTTGCAGGAAGTTATCTTCTAGGTCTTGCAATCTTTTGAATCAAATTATATTGTTTTCCTCTTCTCCATTCCTTCCTTTTTAGCCTTTCTAATTTTTATGATATGGCTCTTTTAACAGACAAATCAAAATCTCGAAGCAGCTCGGATCCTAAGAAAGAACCTGCACTTCCCAAAGAACCAACAGCACATATTGCTGCACAAACATTTACATTTCGAGAGCTTGCTGCAGCAACTAAGAACTTTAGGCCAGAATGCCTATTAGGTGAAGGTGGATTTGGACGTGTTTACAAGGGTCGCTTGGAGAGTACAGGACAAGTAAGCTGTGCCTGTGACTGTGAATGCTTGAAATAGATTTCAGTGATACTGAATTTTTATGCACATCTATGTTGTCTGCTACATGTAGGATCTTTCTGATATTAAAATTTTCTGCATTGTGTTTTTTTTTTTTTTTTTTCTTTTATTAATTATTGAGAATTGCAGTTATG